ATATATTATTGATTTTAGAGAGGAAGGGGGAGGAAGAGAGAGAGAAACATCAATGATGAGAGAGAATCATTGATTGGCTGCCTCCTGCACACCCCCTACTGGGGATCACGTCCAAAACCTGGGCATGTGCCCTTAACCGGAATCGAACCTGGGACCCTTCAGTCCACAAGCTGACACTCTATCCACTGAGCCAAAGTGGCTAGGGCAATGGGTAAATTTAGTTTTGTGAGAAACTGCCAGACTTTCTTGCATAATGCTTGTGGTGGTTTGTGTCCCCGCCAGGAGTGGAGGAGAGTTCCAGTGGCTCTGCACCCTCACCAGCATTTGGTGGTGTCAGTGTTTTGGATTTTGGCCATTCTGGTAAGTGTGCAGTAGTATCTCATTGTTGATTTAATTTACGATTTCTCTTATGCGATGTGATGTTTAGAGTATTCTTACATGCTTATTTCCCACATGTATATCTTCTTTGGTGAGATATCTATTCAGGCACCTTTTGCCCATTTTTAAATTGGGTTGTTTTCTTATTGTGGAATTTTTAAAGGTTGTGTCTATTGTACACAAGTAACTCTTCAGATGAATATTTTGCAAATACTTCCTCCAAGTATATGTATGCCTTGTCTTTCATTCACTTGACAATATCTTTCAGAAAACAGAAGTTTTTCTTAGTAAAATCCAACTTATTTTTTTTATATTTTCAGTGTTGCATCTAAAAACTCCCAAACTGAAGATCATCTAGAAGTTCTCTTATGTTATCTTCTAGAAATTATATAGTTTTGCATTTTTCACTTTGGATTATGACCCCTTTTGAGTTATGTTTTGTGAAAGATGCAGGGTCTGTGTTTGGATTCATATTTTTGCATATGAGCGTGCCATTGTTCCAGCTATTTATTGAAAGACTATCCTATTTCTATTAAATTGCCTTTGTTTGTTTTTCCTAAAGATCAGTTGGCTACATTTGAGTGGGTCTGGGGTTTCTTTCTGTATTTAAAAAGTAAAACTTACTAGATTTTAAAAAATGAAATACAAGGAAAACACAAGTGATTTATAAAAGAGAAGGCTTCCATTTGGTAGACGATTGAATGAAGTTTGTTTTGCTCCCTTGCTTCAGAAATCTCTCCAAAGCAGCAGTGATAATGGCAGATGCAAACACAGGTTATAACTTTGATGACAGTGGAAGATTTTTCTTTCTACTTTAAATCATAGTATCTAAGAAAAGGATTGCCAGGTGCAGTGCTGGTTAAATGAGGATGCCAGGAGACACCTAGATTTTTTATGTGGGGCTGTGAATCTCTAAACAGCTGGAATTCCCCCGAGTTTGCACAACCTCCTAGGAACAATGCATTCTTCAGAAGGAGAAGAATGGGTAATTGGGCTAGTGGCAGAAATTTTGCTGATAGCTGTTTTATACCACAAAGAAGTACACACACACACACACACACACACACACACACACACACACACACACACACACACACACACACACACACACACACACACACACACACACACACACACACACACACACACACACACACACACACACACACACACACACACACACACACACACACACACACACACACACACACACACTCCTGTGCCATACCCTGTATAAACCAGAAAGAATTTCTCCTATTTTGGAATGCTGGCCTCCCATGTATGAACTTCTTTAACGGTAGAGGGTACACTTACTTCGTTCAAAGATGACTAATTTTTTTTTGAGATATGGCAAAAAGTCAGAAAAGGAACTTCTTAGAGAAAGCAGCAGCCAAAGAATAGTAATAAAAATATTGCCTGAAACATAAGAAAATTGTGATCAAACATAGGTATGCATTTTAAAATTTTAATAAAACTCTTGCCTTTTTATATCAAAGTGGATCAAAGCTGAAACGTGAAGACTCAGATAACTTGCCAGTTTCACAATTTTGATCTAAAGAGCAGCAAGGAAATGGAAGTACTAGGAGCCACTGAAGATGCAAGTACCTCCCAGCTCCTTCATAGCTTAGGTGCAGTTATCATGAGGTGAATATGATTTAAGAAGGGTCATGATCCAAGCCATCCCTCTCCAGTTCCTCCTCCACCTGCCCACCTTGGCATTGGCCTTTCCTTCCCCTAACACAAGAAGTGAGAAAAAATGATACTCCTCTAGGTTGGCTGGGCACCTGTGTGCCAGCATGACCAGGACCACCTGGAAATGGCTGCTCTGGGGACCTGGCCTAAGCTCCTGTCCGTTTCTCAGTTGAGGTTTGTTGAATGTTGCAGAAAGCCTGGCTGTGAAGACGTTGGTCAGATGAACGGCTGTGCCTGGGAGTCACAAGTCACAAAACTACTCGCCTGGGGAGAGCAGACACAGTATTAGGGCCTCGGAGAATGGGAGTAAGTACTTTTAGTCCACTTGGGAGGGAGGATGTCAAGAACACCAATGTTTTCCTGGGAAGGCAATACCTTTTAATCCAGTAATTCCAAGTCTGAGGATTAGACTCCATGAGAAATCATCTGTGTGACACCGGCACATTAACTTCTGAGAGCTGCTTTCCCTCTCGGTGGTGTGCGTGGAATGATGTTGGCACCGCCAGGGGTTAGCAGTGTTAATGTTGGGAAAGTCCTTGGGTACAGTGCCTTACAGCATCCGGACTGGGTTGCGCAGTTCCACGGGGCACCGTTCCCAGCATGGGTAGCGCTGGAAGCTGTGGAACGTGGAGGCCCTAGGCAGCCAATTAGGACAACAACTGTTGGCATTACTGGCTTCTCCTTTAGACACAGGACAGGAAATACACTCTTTGCTCTTTCTGTTTCATTATTGTTGCTTTATAGCCTCTATATAGGCGGCAGGGTTCATTTTAAAAGAGCCTACGCTGATAAAAGAGGTTCCCTGGTCACAGTCCCCATTTTTCTTAACTAATTTGGGAAAGTGAATGAATTAAGGGACTTGGATCCCCAGTTTCCTCACTGGTCAAATGAGAGTGTTAGACCAGATAATCTAATACTCTTTCATGAATTCTCTGATGTACAGCCTTTTATCCCACCTAGTACAGCTGCCCACAGGAATCTTGTTCTCAAAATGGCAATGAAATGCATTGAACGTGAACTCCCAGAGGATAGGGGAAATGGGTCAGACTTCTACAAATACGTGGCATGTAGGAGCTGGCAAGAAAAGGAAGCTGTCAGACTATCCCCCCTCTTCCTTGATAAAGTACCAGTTCAATCTGCTTAATAATTACTGCAACTGTTTCACAGAGAAAAGGTCGGTAGTGAGAGCTCAGGGAGCAAGCAGGTTATGGGAAGGTATTAAAAACTGTGCTTATAATTAAAGCAGACCCTCCTCATCCTCTTTTTCATCCTCCTTCTCGCCTTCCTCCTCCTCTTTGTAATTTGAAGGAGTTGAACAGTTGGCTCAGAGACCTCAGGAGGGGCTGGAGCCGTGTCCAGTGGGAGCACACCTCTGTCCCCATCTCCCCGCAGTTGCCCACGGTCATTAATGCAGAATGAGGACACACATAAGCCCCTTGAGAAGGAAAACCATCACATCCACTCCCACTTTCCTAACAGGTTTTCTAAATCTTCAATAAGTTTTTTGTTAGCTGGGAATGAATGTCTGAATTTAGGCTTCAAAATGTTCCTCCCCCCCACCCCCCAATCTGTATAATTACTGTTGTTTTCCTGAAGCCTTTCAAAATACTATAATTAACAGATTGGCAGATAACCCATATAACTGCAGTTAAGGCAAATATAGTATGCAGCTGTCTTTGCATTAAGTGATTAAATCAAATAGCATAGTTTTGAAGTGCATTTATAAAGCATAAATTTACCTCCTGGCAAAACTGTCTTAAGTAACACACCCTACACCATCTGTTCACTCAGTATTAATACCATATTTCCCAGGACTATAGCTACGGAGAGCAGAGCTACCAGCTGTGCAGAACCAAGAGGTGCTGAGGGATCCTTTCGAATACTCAGCAAGTTTTGGATCCTCTTAAGAATGCTTGCAGTGATGGTGCATCTGAAATCGACATGCATGTAGACACACATGCATGCACATACACCCATGTACATGCACACACATGCACATGTAGGCCCATGCACACACACACACACACACACACACACACCCCACCTCAGGATACAGATGACTGTATACTCCCTTTCCATGACCAAGTCAATACACTGGTATGAATTTAAATGCATTTATCCAAGCACTTATTCCTGCACTCAGTTATTCATTCAGCAGTGATTTATTCAACGCCTCTCTTGGTCTGACTAGGTAGTAAGTGGTAGGGATTACAAAGGTGAATGGTGGTGGCCCTGCTTTCATGGAGCTCACAGTCTAGCACAGACATCTCAGTAATAGACTAACTACAATAAGTTGTGGTGGTTTTGAGACAGGATAGAAACCCAAGCAAACCTAACCTCATGTATAAAATCAACACACATATTTTGCAATTCAAGAACATGGACAATAAAAAGGTTCAGTCTTCAGAAATATTTCCAGAACTTGCCGTGAGCAGCGGTTGGCTCAGTGATCAACACAGAAAAAGACATTAACAATCTGGGAAGGAAAACCGAAGCTAGCTGGGAAAGGGAATGCTAAATTGGATGATTCAGACGACTGCACAGGGTGTTAGAGATTCTGAACCAGTGCTGAGAAGTGGGAGTCCTAAGCTGGTTCGCGAGGTCGTCAGTGGTCAGCAGCCCTGGCTGCACACTCCCCAGGGCCAGGTCCCACCCTGTATAAATTAGATTAGGAAATCTGGGGAGGGGGCTTGGAACTGTCTCTCTTATTTCTACATTCCTGAAGTCATTTGAATGAGCCTTGTGCGTGCAAGGTCGGAGCTTACGAAGTCATAATTTGCAGTTAGGAGGGAGTGTGCAGGTCACCGAGGCCAGGGTCCTCGTGTCATAAATGAAAACATGGAGGTGCAGAGACAGGAAGTGGATTTCCACAGGAAGTGGTCTCACAGCTAACTCAAGGCAGATAGGGAACCAGTTTTCCAGTTTCAAAACTGGGGGTCTTTTTATTTCATGTCACTTTCCCGGTTTTCAGCATATAGTGAACATCAAAGCCAGCCCCAAAACGTTCATTTTCTCATCAAAGTTTTCAAAATGAGAGTACTTTTGGGGATGAAAGCAAAGAGCAAGTATACAAATTAATCAGGTGGAAATAAAAAATCAGATGTTATTTTGTGAAGGAAAGTGGGAGTAGGCAAATATTGTGGTCTACCTAAAACACCATGAATGCGAGCATCTAAGCTCATCTTTTCTTGCCGTTATTATATGCTAGTTCTTCAGCAGCATCACTTACTTGACCTTCTGGGGGACTGTTGCACAAAATCTTTTCTCCCCAAGAATCCATTTCTCTTAAGGAAACTGTAATGCCTTCTCATTAGATAGCCCCAGAGCATTCTGTTCTTGCGGTTTCATCTAAAAAGATACAGACTTGCCTGGCCAGTGTGACTCAGTGGTTGAGTGTTGACCTAATGAACTAGGAGTTCACGGTTGGAATCCTGGTCAGGCAGGGCACATGACCAGGTTGCAGGCTTGATCCCCAGTGTGGGGTGTGCAGGAGGCAGACAATCAATGATTCTCATCATTAACGTTTCTATCTCCCTCTCCCTCTCCCTCTCTGAAGTAAATATGTAAATACATATATATGTGTGTGTGTGTATATATATACTTTCCCCTGATTAAGTCTGAGTGACACAGCTGCCAGGCTGGCCTGCAGGTTGCAGGCTGCCAAAGAGATCTTCTGAGTTTTGTTTTACATCAACATTTATTACTGTATCAGCAGCTACATTTGATGTGCGTGTAATTTATTAGCACTCTTTATCTGGAGGTAGATCCAGATTCCATACTTCTTATGAATCACATACCCTCCGGGCATCTTTTTAATCTAACTTTTGTTAACTGTCACTTGTAAAGAACATTTCGCCTTGCCAATTCATAAAGAAAACGAGTATCTGGCCTACCCCAATATTTTTCATTTTATTAGTCAATGGGAGTTGGCTTTAAACTCCCCAGCTTATAATTTATAACCGGAACAGGCAATTAAATCATTTTAGGATGTGTTCAAGCACAGCTCAAAGTTTTAACGACGCAGTTCCCTTCTCTCAGAGCCCCTCCCGTCGAAAAGGCTCTCACGTTTTAACAAAGCAACAATCCTCCTTTTCTGTTTTTCCTTGGGGTCACATGTGCATTGAAACACTTTATGAGAACAGTCATGTGGGAAGTGCAGTGAATCTCCAGGAAGGAAAAAACAAAACAAAACAAAACGGGAATCCCTTGAGGTCATATAAAAATTAAGTGAAAGGATGGCACAATTATTTTGACAGCAGGTGGGATCTCTAAGCTGTTAATTAAGAGACTAACCATGAAGAACATGAAGACTCAAGTTTCCAGAGGTTTGCTGATTCTCTGCTGGTATTTTGAAGAGATTTGATTGTACGGTACTATTTTTAAATCTCATTTTACAGCTTTAAAAAACGACAGAGGAAGCACCTGAACACCATGGTCATCCCTGAGGGGACAGGGGTAAAAACCACTGTGTGCAAGGTTTCCATTGTACATCATTCAGAGCTGTGTACCCTGTGGACAAAAGACTGCTCATTGTGAGAATTAGGTGATAAAATTAAACATGCCCATGCTAGGCCAGCTACTACATCAGGCGATTTGCTGCCCTAGGCAGCAGGCTGATGGGATACATAGTTGGATGGACAGACTTAAGAATTAAGAGATGGGCAGGCAATATTAGTACTCAGGTAAACACATACAACCCAGTATTAGCTAGCTAGGCCATCTCCATGCCAAATAGGAAAGAGCGAGAAGAACCAAGAGAATTGCAAAAATGGTGGATGGGTTACACCCTCACTAATGACCATGAAAGTAGCGCAAGCAGCACTCTGAGTCCTTTCTGGCAGGGACTTTGTCTACCCGCAGCATCTATCCCAATACTTGTCATTCAGTAGTGGGAGTTCAATAATGTTGGAAAAATAGAGGTGGAAGAAAAGGAATAAAGGAGGACTCTTAGATGCAAAAGCTATCAAATTCCATATCGGTGAACAAGAATGGGATTTTCCATTAGAGTTGAAAAAAATCTTAATATAGCAGAAGGAATACAACTAAATTAGAAATAAGTACATAGATATTACTCTAGAAAGCCTGGAAGAGGCCTTCATGAAGGGAAGGCAAATTAGAGACAAGGCTGAGGTGTGGGTGGAATGTGCAGGGCTGTGTGGTCCATGACAAACCTGTGGGGCCCAGTTTCTTATATAAAATGGAGAGTTAAACTAATGCTCCCCTTAGATCCTTTCCAAGTTCTGAGGTGCGTTTTTCAATGCCTGTGCTCCATTCTTATCTGATTCCCTGGAAATAAACATGATGATTTTCTCTGCAGGGGAAGGGAGGCAGAGAGCAGAAATGTTGGTCATTGTATTGTTTTCCAGCTACGTTGTGATTTGAAACATTTTTCTTATTTCCCAATGTGATTTTTTGTTATAAGAAACTCTAACATGCTAAGTCTCTGCAGGATTTCTTAAAAGTAACACCTGGAAAAATGGATTTGAGACAAAAATTGCTTTTAAAAAAGTCTCCAAAAACACAGCTATATGTTATGTTTTTGCGACTACATGTGTCAGGTGCCAAAACCTTTGTATTCTTTCTTTTTGAATGATAATCATTTAGTAATATTTAGTACAAGAGGCCCAGTGCACAAATTTGTGCTCCAGTGAGGTCCCTGGCCTGCAGGATCAGGCCGAAACTGGCTCTCCGACATCCCCCGAGGAGTCCTGGATTTTGAAAGGGCACAGACCAGGCCGAGGGACCCCACTGGTGCACGATCTGGGCTGGGAACGGACATGGGAGGTTGGCCAGCCTGGGAGGGACCGCAGGAGGGCTCTAGGGCACGTCCAGCCCTTCTCGCTCAGTCCAGGTGATGGGCTGGACTCCAGCAGTAAACTAACCTATTGGTCGGAGCGTTTTTCCCCTGGTGGTCAGTGCACGTCATAGCAAGCGGTTGAGAGGCCTTAGCAAATCATTAGCATATTATGCTTTGATTGGTTGAACGGACGACTGGACGACCAGACACGTAGCATTTAGGCTTTTATTATATAGGATGAGGCTGTATGATAGAGCCTTACTCATTGTCTTACGCTTTCAAGTCAGGAATTTTCATCTCCTCTGTCAAGAATCTGGTGAGGTCCATTCTTCATCCCTAGACTGGGCCGTCTGCACTTTCCAAATGCAATTCAGACATTCATGCAGCCATAGATGTCCTCCTACATGTTCACACTGATGCACTCACAGAGTGCAGAGTGGGGAATACCTGTGCCCACAGTACTTGTTTCTACTCTGCAGAGGGCTGGCAACAGAATGTCCCTGTTAGAAAATGACAATTACACATTGATTTTTCAGAGAGGAAATGACAAATAAGGGAGACACACAAAAAGTCAACAAAAGGCATGGTAAAGCAAAACACGGCAGGTTTATCCCAATGGAGAAATGCTTGGGAGAGAAAGAGAACTTCAGTGGCATCTGCTCACCCAACACTGGGAGGGGCTCAAAGTCAGAGTAAGGGCTGAGGTTAAAGGACTCACTAGAGGGTCACCAGGCGAAGGCTGAAATGGGGTGGGGCCGCCTTGGAGTCGGTCCTCAGCAGGTCAGCATTATGGGGCAGTGACGTTAACTTGCAGAAATAATAAAAATGGAACACTCTATCTTGGTTAAGAGAATCAAGCGATAGGCTTGCAAGACTGTGTCCCATGGATTATTGAGCTTAGAGCTGGCTAGATGCACTCAGAAAATAAATGGGATCTTCTGAATAAAGACATTTCAGGTCCTGTAAAGCTCCTATTGATTCTGTTAGTATTTTTAAAAATAACTACTATTTATCAAGTGATGAGGGATTTTTACCTCTGCTTTCCAGGTAAAGAAACGGGGAAAAAAAATAAGTAAATTACATTTCCGAAATTATGCAGCTGGTATGTTACAAGGTAAGAGTTTGAAATCATGATATTAATGTGATTCTTTTATGTTTTTTCTTATCCTCACTGGAGGTTGTGTGTGCGTGGTTTTTGTTTGTTTGTTTGTTTTTAAATATATTTTATTGATTTTTTTTACAGAAAGGAAAGGAGAGGGATAGAGAGTTAGAAACATCAATGAGAGAGAAGCATCGATCAGCTGCCTCCTGCACACCCCCCACTGGGAATGTGCCTGCAACCAAGGTACATGCCCTTGACCGGAATCGAACCTGGGACCCTTCAGTCCCCAGGCCGATGCTCTATCCAGTGAGCCAAACCGGCTAGGGCGTGTGTGTGCGTGTTTTTAAGTGATGTTTTAGAGAGAGAATGGAGAGAGAGAAACACTGATGTGAGAGAGAAACATCAATCAGTTGCCTCCCATACGCACCCCAACTAGGGATCGGACCTGCAACCTAGGTATGTGACCAGGAATGGAACCCCAAATTTTTGGTGTACTGGACGATGCTCCAACCAACTGAGCCACCTGGCCAGGGCTGATTCTTTTAATTATTTGGTTTTTAAATGTAGTGTGCATTTTTATTTCCTTGGATTTTCCCCAATATTATTTAAAACCCATGACAATGTTAGAACCACAGTTGTAATAAGAAGATCCCATTGGTTTTGCCTAAAGCAGAACCTAATAAAAGGTTGAGAAGTTGAAATTTTTCACTTTGAGGAGGTGATTGTGATGTTGACAGCCGTTGAAACCAAAATCTGTTCCTCTCCAAGGGATTTTAAGACAGTAGGACTGATAGATGGACAATTTCTTAAACTATATTATTAGTAAACAATTTGAAACTTATAGAAAAGTTGCAAGGATGGTAAAGGCTCCCCGATACCCTTCACCCAGCTTTACTTAGTGTTTATCATTTATCCAATTTGCTGTTTCCAACCCTAACCCTAACTCTAACCCAAAACTAACCCGAGTGCCAACCCTAACCCAACCCTAACCCTAACCACAACCCCAACCCTAACCTAACCCTAAACCCAACCCAACCCAACCCAACCCTAACCCTAACCCTAATCCTAACCCTAACCCTATCTCTATGAACATTATTCTTTGTTCCAAACTTTTGAAATGCGGTTGCATCCATCATGACCCTTTGCTTCTAAATTCTTCAGTGTGGATTTCCTAAGAAAAAGGATAGTCCACTACAGTTATTAACTTGTGTAACTTTAACATGGACACTCTTAACTGATCTCTATCTCAATTTTGTCCCTTAACCCACCCGGAAATTCCCGTACAGCATGTTTTTCCTCCAGTGCAGGATCCATCAAGAATAACCTATGGTGCTACTTATTGTGCTCCTTTAGTGTACTTTACATTGTGTCTTTTTAGTCTCCTGATGTCTGTCTTTTAGGATGTTGACGTTTTTGAATAATGCAGTCAATGAACCATTGTTAGAGCTTCTTCTTCTCACCTGGAAATAGTTTTCCTAAAGTTCATTTTTGCTTAAACTTCGAAGGATATTTTTAGTGATGGGAGTCCTTTGGTCTTTGAAATCAATCAGGGAGCCCACTGGTGTGGCTCAGTGGTTGAGGTCAACCTATGAACCAGGAGGTCATAGTAGTTTTACTTGTCAGGGTACCTGCCTGGGTTGTGGGCTCGATCCCCAGTGTGGGGCATGCAGGAGGCAACAATCAATGATTTTCTCTCATCATTGACATTTCTATCTCTTTCTCCCTCTCCCTTCCTCTCTCTGAAATCAATTTTTTAAAAACATATTTTTTTAAAAATGATCAGTCAGGGATACAGTTGGGCCACACATGATCATGCCAGAGATAGGATGAATGAAGGGCATGCTCTGAATAGAAATGTGTTTACTCTGGAGCAAGAGTCGGTCGGGTTGGTCAGTCCTTCGTGGGCAGGCAGCTCTGCAAATGGTATTGAAATAGAAGAAAACTGAAAAAGAGGAGCTGGCATCTCCTGAAACTTCATCCCAGGATGGAAAAGGTTTGGGAATCTTGGGCAAGGTGTGACTCGTTAGCATTAACAAAGGAATTGTAAAAAAAAATCAAATAGGGAAATGATAAAGTGCTTAAGTTTTCCACTTAAGATCTTAAGAATTAAGACCATAAGTAGTATGGATCCTTAAACATCTAGCTAGCATGGGTAGATGAAACAGATACACCATGTTATAAATGGCCCCATCAGCTATGTTTTAACAGCTTTATGGAGGTGTAACTGATACCCCAAAACTTCACATATTTAATGGATACAATTTGATAGGTTTGAACATATGCATACACTTGTGAAACCATAAACACAATCAAGGTAATAAACATATTCATCACCTGCAGGGCAGGGCTGAGTCTCTGAAAACCTCTGATCAGATACTCTCTCATCTGTGCTCAAGGATGGAGCAGAGATGTTCCTAATGATCTGAGAATCTGTGCCTTCAGCAAGGGACTGCTGGTGGGAATATCAACTGAAGACCTCCTGCAGGAAACCTTTGTAATGAGTTTTCAGAGAAAAAACAATGGGAAATTATTTTTTATCCATGTTAAAAATGAGTAACAGGGATGAAAAACTGATCTTAATTGGTTTAATCCAGAAAAGCATATTATTCATGAATGGTGAATGAATGCAGCTTGCCTAGAGAGAGCAGTGAGAATTAAGTCCTAGACTCTCATTCTTTCCTTGTCTTTCAGCATCAATCCAGAGCCAGGAAGAGGATCAAAGGTAGAACATTGACAGGTAAGTTTCTGCCCATCCAACTCTGAGCTTTCCAAGGATTAACTTTAAACTTTCCTCTCCAGGTCCTCAGTCTCTGAGACGTCAGTGTCTGGGGAGAGACCTTCTCAGAAACAGCCTTTAGTAGGGAGGTCCAAGCAAGGACGTTAAGAACCTGGAAGGTGCTCAGATTCCCTGCTCTGACCACAGGAATGAGAGAATGATGGAGCTGGGCGATGGGGCTTCCCACGTGGTGATGGTGTGAGATGCAGTGAGCATTAGTCAGGGTGATCAGGCAAACAGCACCCATAGGAGGTGTGCACATAGAGAGATGTATTTAAAGAACTGGCTCACTTGATTATGAAGACTGCAAGTGTGGAATCTGCGGGTGGGTGAGTGAGCTAGAAACCCAAGAAAGAGCTGATGTGGTTCAAGGCCGAAGGCCATCTGTTAAAAAATTTCTCCTTGCTTGGGGGAGGTCATTCTTCTGTTTAAGTCCTTTAAGGGACTGAATGAAGGTCACCAGCATTATGCATGGCCATATTCTTGACTCAAATGCACTGATTTAAATGTTAATCTAATTCAAAAGTGCCTTCACTTAAAAAAATCCACTCTGTATGGGTGTTGACAACTGCACAGTCATATATCTTAATTTTTTTCTATAGCTATTTTGTTTTGCCCTAACAAATTTCAGTTTCCACTTAATGTGCTATTTGTGACAAATCTTTCTTTTTTTCCTTTATTGCTCCAATCATATTACTAACTTTGTTATCTCGGCTCATGCCTTTATTTGAAAATATAAAATTTTCCATGCTTATGTTTCTGGACTAGAAAAATAAGTTTATAATATCATTATTCTGAAAGCATTAATGTTAATTTAATCATCAATTAAGCTTATATAGATATGATAAGCTGTCGTGTTTTCATAAGAAATTCAAATGAACACATTACAGTGCTGCATTGGTGAATAGAAGAAAAAGAAAGCATTTGAACTGAATCCATTGGCATTGACTAAATCAACAGTTATAAATGGCACTAGAAAAGATGGGCCAGCACCTCACACATAGTACAATACATTACAAGATGCAACCGTTACAGCAAAGTGGAAAATGAACATTGTATTGAATTAAAAAATAGTTCGCAATGTCTATCAATGGACATTTAGGTTGCTTTCAGGGATAATGTGAATAATGCTGCAATGAGCATGAGAGATCAGTTTTCCCTCTGAGAT